TAAGGTGTTCTAGGATTTAAAATTCTTTATTGCTTTTTTCTTGATTTTCATTATTTAATTTGGCCTGATTTTTACTGTACTTTTTAAAGCTGCTCCTATAGATGAATATGATGGAGTTGATGCATTTGGGTATTATCTTATGATTTTTAGAATATCAGCAGGTGATTTCTCAACAGACAACTATAGAGATTAATCACAATACTTAGTGATATTGACATGGCTTGTCTGGATAATTGCAGTATTAACTCTAAATATAGTGTTCATGAATTTTATAATTGCAGTTATCTCAGAGTCATACGAAAGAGTTATGCAAAAACTTGTGGCTGAAACTTATAGAGTGAAGGCTAATATGATTGTTGAAAGAGAACAGCTTTTTTCAGAGACTGAACTTAAGAAAGAAGAATTATTCCCTCAATATATTTTAATCAGAAAATAAATCAGCAATGAATCTAATGATGCTGGAGAATGGCAAGGATTTATCAAAGATCTAAAATATACAATTAGAACTACAGTAACAAAATCCAAAGGAGATATTATTCAAAATATGCATACATCATTGGGAAAAATTGATGAGGGAATCTAATAAAATTAAAAGCTAATTGATTTAAATGAAAATCTGGGGGACCAAATTAATAAAATAAAATAATAACTTGATTAAAATTCAGAGAATAGCAAACAAGTCAGCTTGCTTTTTAAAGATGACTTTACAAGAAATAATCAATAAATCTAAGAAAAAATTGAATCATAGTTGGGAGAAAAAGGATATATAATTTCAAGGATTAATTCAATTGAAATTACATAGGAAAGATTTAGTTCTAAAGTAGAAAAACTTTAGGAAGATATGGATTTCATTAAATCAACTTTAGCTTAGTTGCTTCAGAAATAAACCCAGTGAAGACATCTGATAACTTAAAAGAAATTATTAAGTCATATAACTCAATTTCACAAAGTAAGCAACTGGAACTTGCTCTTGCTTACAGAAATTTGAGAGACATTCAAATAATTAAATTCAAAAACTAATTGATTCAGTCATAATAGCGTAAAAATTAATTCCATAAAACTTTATAATCAATATATGCTACAGTTATGGGGTTTTGGGGTTTTGGGG